ATGTGAGAGGATGAATCTCTTAGATTAGAATTAGAGTATGTCGTGGCTCGGTCGGTGTAGTTTTTACTGATCAACCTTTCGTTATATTTCTTTCTTTTAGGAATAAAATTCTATACCCAAAAAAAAAGTCCAGTGAACTCCCCCGTGGCTTCCCTATCTTCAAACAATGCATGTTGTTGCTGGAGTAATGCTGTGTTGACTTCTTTTGCATTGAAGTATTAAGACATGGTTTAGGATCCATATCATCAGTATGAGATCAACTGGACCATTATCTGCCATGAAGAGATTCCTCAACAGGTATGCCCATATATTTTGATGTAATTCTGATAAAATTAAAAGATAAATTATTTTAATAAATAAATTGTAAGTTGCTAATTATATAATAATTTTCTAACATTCATTGTCAAGCTGTCATGGAAGAATTGAGCATAAATTATGAAGTAATAACTATGCATGCCTTTTAAGTTGAAGAGAATGAACTTTTATATCTTAGGGTTCTATTAACAGTGATAGGATGTATGATATTTAATTATAGTTGACGACTTATCGTTATTTAACCTATTTATGCCCTTAGCCATTGAGGAGTATATTTTTTTTCAATTATATACATTTTTGTATGTGTGTACGTATTTGTATAACTATAGATTTAGTGTATTCCTAAAGGAAAAAGAGAATTATGGTGAAACTCGATCCCAAATTATGCCTGAAGATCAACACCTTGATCACTTAAACAAATCCACTATAACAAATGATTACAACATGAAAATCTAAGAGCACCTTTAAATCATGCATGATAGATGAAATTCAAGATAAAAAAAGAAGAAGTAATAATGCACTAGTAAATATGCATCACTCTCTTAATGGTCGAGCCCACTCATAAAGAATGAAATGTTTGTGATCAATAGATATGCTTTTTCCTCTTACAATTATGTTGAAGTCAAACTATATATATGGCATCTTAATATTCTCATCTAAGTGCACAAAAAGACAAAGGCATAAAGTTGTGGTGGTTTATTATTTTTTACTTTTTCACAAAAGCAGTTTTGGGATTGACTTGTGGAGCCCTTGATTGCAAATTACATTGTTAATTTTGTTTTTTGGTTGGTTACATCATGTCTTTAATTCATTTCCCACTAGTCTTATGGCTGTTGCTTTTGGGGATGCTCATAATTTGATTTTGTCTAGCACTGAGTAAGATAGGATGGGAATTAGGGAGGACGCCATCTAATACACTGGAATTTCAAGTAGAACTTAGGTTGAGATTTTAGATTTTCGGAACCCGGTTCAAACTCAATCTATATTAGTGAATTCAGATTCAACTCTCATTGAGTTCAAATAATCTAATTAAACTCAAATTGAAGTTGAATTCAATCTTATGAACACTAAGAAGCACGGATACAGATACGGGTGTCGTATCTGATACGATACAGACACAAGGATACGACAAAATCCCAAAATCATAGGACATGGATACGGTGAGGAAATGACTAATTAAAATAATTATATATATTTTTATATATATAACAACATTAATAGTAACAATCCAAAAAAAACGCAACAAACACAGTAGGAAGAGTGACAGACAGAATCCAGATTTTGAAAACTAGCAACACCAGACCAAAAACATAACATCACAAGAACAGCAACAAATGCTCTAAAATATCCTCAAAATTTGAAAACCCTAAATCCCTAATTTAATGAAATTAACTTAATCAAATTTTTTGAAAGTCCTCCACAGGATAAAAGTAAGAAAAAAAGAAAATCTTAGGTAACAAAAAGAAGATGAAGAAGAGGAACCTGGTAAGCGATAACAACAGTCGCAGAGAGCAGTAGCAGGTTGGTCTTCCTCTTTCCTCTCCTTCTTCTTATCCTCTTCTCCTTTTTGTTGAAGGCCCGAAGTAGATTGTTCAGTCGTTCTCCTCCTCTCTCTCTCTCTCTCTCTCTCTCTCTCTCTCTCTCTCTCTCTCTCATAGTCAAAAGTGGGAGATCGGGAGTCGAAGCAGATCGTTGGTCGTTCAACCTTTGCCTTTTGTTTTTTCTTTTTTCAAGCCCAAAAACGACGTCGCTTATTCCTTTTTTTTTTTTTCAACTCCCTAAGTTTTTAAAAAAAACAAAAACAGCCCTGTCGTATCCCCTCAAGTATCCTCGTATCTCCCACGTAACCGGCTGAAAAAAATTAAATTTATTGTGCAGGACACTTCTAGAGGTGTCAAACATGTGTCCGGTTGTGTCCCACGTGTGTCCGTGTTGGACACGTGTTCGACACTGCCACAGCGACCCCCACCCCCCAACAAAAAAAAACAAAAAACAAATCGAGTATCCGTGCTTCTTAGTATGAACATCAATTTTATCTAGAGGAAAAAATATAACCATGAAGAATATTCGAGTTGACGGATAAGAGCCGACTTTGGGTACATGTTGAACTAAAATTGAGAGTTTTATAGCTTAAAGGTTAAATTAGAACTGATCTCTAAACTTGTCCTGCCTACTTGTGTTACTCATAAAACATCTCACCTTTTTCTCTTTGCCAATGTTGAGAACAATGAGTTCCACCAGCCCTTTAGTATTCATCAACACACCAAGCGTCAAGGACTCTCTCACCGGAATCATACACATCATCGCCACCACAAATGTCCCCAAAATCTTCCCGGCACATGCCGCCGATATCACCAGCGCCAGCAGCCCCCAAGCCTCGATCCCGTGTATTTTAGCAACATCTGTCTTCAACCCACTTGAAGCGAAGTAAAGTGGCAACAATAGGCCGGAAACAAAGTCTTCAATCCTTTTGATCAATCTTCTAGCAAATTCTCCTCCTTTGGGGATCGTTAATCCAAAAACAAAAGCACCAAATATAGCATGTATTCCGATCAGGTCAGTCATGAATCCTGATAACATAACTCCGGCGAGTGTCAAACATATATAAGCTTCGTCCATGATATCGTGGCCAGGGGCGGCCCGCTGAGCCACCCAGCTCATTGCTGGTCGGACGATGATTAGCATGAAGGAAACGAAGGCAATACCAGAAATGAGAACCCAAATGGATATTAATGGGCTTTTGTGAGCTCCACCAGCTATGGCTATGGCTATGGCCAGCAAGATCCAGGCGGCGACGTCATTGAAGGCGGCTGCGACCATGGCGGTCTCTCCTATTTGGGTTGTGAGTAGTTTGAGTTCAGCTAGAATGCGCGCAAGGACCGGAAAAGCTGTGATGGAGAGAGAAACTCCCATGAACATGAGGCACTGGCCGTAGCCAACTCTGTCCGCTCCATCAATGGCTTTTCGGAGGAGGAAGGTGATGGCAGCTCCGAAGAGAAAAGGCAGGGAAATTCCGGCGACTGCTATGCCGAATGCTCTCTTGCCACTCCGGTGGATAGAGCTTAAGTCGAGTTCAAGACCTACAAGAAAGAGAAAGAACAGAAGGCCTATGCTTGCTACTGATTCAAGAACTGGTGTGCTCCATGATGGGAAAATCATCTGCATGAACTCTTTGTTCCGGCCAAGAGCTGATGGTCCAAGCACAATTCCACCCTGAAAACAAAATTAAACCATTCATGAACACAATAGGATGCACAATATATATGCTTCTTTCTCTCTCTCTCTCACAAGACACAGTTGTTCTCAGAAACAAATGCTTTGGGGTATGATAGAATTAACGTAGATCTATCAATATTTAGTTATTTAGAGTCGGATAATATGATGATAGGCCAGATATGAAATTTAGTACGTACTACTATCTCGGCGACGACTTTAGGTTGACGGAGTGGCTTGAGGAAGAAAGCAATGAAGCGGCTGATGAGGAGGATCAAGACGGTTTGAATGATTAGCAAGGGGAATGCATTGTTCAGTGGGTTTTCACCTTGCCATGCTCCATCTGAGGAGGTTTTAATGGATGTTACGTTGAAAGACATAGTCGTTGATGACCAAAGGTGTCCTCTTTGATTGTGGCTGGTTTTCTATGTATCTCAAAGATTTGTTAGTGAAGCTGCAGCAACTAGATTTATATATAGACAATAACAGCGTTGTGGCCCTGTGCGATGCACGGGATATATATTCTTTCATTTCTTATTTGTTTTATTTTATTTTTTTTTCTCTTTCACCTTGTCACTTAAGAGGGTAAATAAAAAAATTAAACTAAATTATTGAATAGTAAATATAATTGTATGCAAATAAATTTGAAAAGATTAGTGGATAGATAGATAGATAAGGAGTTGAAGGGTGGTTACAAAAGTCGCATGACATAATGTGATTGGAGGAAGGTTTAGTATCTGATGTGAGGCAGTTGGTTTGCGTAATACCAAATGTCAAGTTGAATTGATTCAATTTCCCGTATGGTTGCTGTAGAACCCTGTTTAAGAGACTCGATGAGCTCTTTTGAATCCGATTCTATGATCACCAAGTGATAAGCTTCCTCCACAGCCATCTTCTTCCTGCGCTAGCTTCAGCCGCTAATGGAGAAATGGCTATAATGTTTGTACCCATTTATCAGTCGACCCTAATGGCTGCAAAATAAATCTTGGATAACTACATTTGTTTGTCACGAGAGTTGAATCTAGAACGCTCATCAAACCCATCCATGCAAAGTAAATCTTGAATACATGTAATCTTTTTGTCAACTAAAGATATTGATTAAATCTTAAGCATCAAGACAAGAAGTCGAATCTAGACTGCCCGAGTCAATACTTCGTTCCATGCTAAACCCCTTGACACTTTATTTTTGGAGCAATGCTATTGTAACGTAATTTGTTGACATAATTCACTATGCCTTTTGAATTAATTGTGAATTTCATCAAATATCGGAATTTAGTATTGATCTAATGATTTCATCATATCATAGGTCAGATTTTTATATTCAAATAACATTATTGTTACTTTTAGATTCTCTGTTTACAGATTGTGTCCTGTGCTTTCTTTAATACAAATCATGAAAGAAGTGCCTATTCTTTCATTGAAGGGACTCTTTTCCAAGTGCTCAAGTAAAATGAGTATCAATGTCCCGTGATTTCGTTATAATACCATCATGGGCTTCAAACCAACTGGATACGAATATGTTTTCCATATCATTAAAATGAAATTATACGAATATTAGTGAAACAGCAGTACCACTTTAAGCATCGAATGGACTGTGATTTATGCTTAGGAACCCATATGTGCAGTGTAAATCATATGAAAAAGATCTTGAATTTGGTTGGATTTTTTCCCCAAACAAAAGGGATATGGTATTCGATGTACACCAAATCAACATTAAAGTCTTTGTAAAGTTTGCCTCTAAAGTCACTTTATAATAACAAATATCATTGCCTGTTTCTGTGCATTTTTCATATTAAATGTTGAGGAATTTAAATCTTCGAAGGCCACTGGTAAAGTTCTTAAAGAATAAGTTGTTTATCGAGCATCGATGCTGTTTTAAAGATATTATATGTTTTTTTAAGTGAACATTGGAGCTGAATTTTTTTAGATGGATTTATAATTACTTGAGTCCGTCAAAAAAACTTATTTTGAATTAAGTCCGTTTTTAAACTTATTAGTAAGGAGTTAAGTATACTTTTTTTTTTAATTTCAAAAATACCGTTAACAGTGTTAATTTGGTCAGTTATGCAAAGTTAAACATTATCTATAAAGAGCTATATATGAAAGTCAATGATTAAATATAAGAATGTTTGATTTACGATGACAATTTTCAATTACAAGTTTTTCATAATACTTCAAATTCAAATTCCTAGTCATTATTTTGTCTATTATACATTTAAATCATTGGCTTTCAAAATTTGAGGCTAATATGAAAGGAATAAAGGTTGAAGTTAGAGTACGAACTCGAGATTTTGAAAAAGTAACATAGACAGTGCATGTCAAGTACTTGATGTTAGAATAGTAACATCAGTTCAGTAACATCAATTTCAAAACGTAATTTATTAACATATATCACTATTTTTTTTTTCATGTTATTATTTTTTATTGAGCATGTTATTACTTTTTCAATGTTATTTTTTTGGATGCTGAAAAATTTGAGGTTTTTTCCTCCTGGTTATGAGTTTGAATACTACTATTTTTATGTTTAATTTTGTTCAATGTTCTATATTGCTATATTTTTGTGGAGCATGTTACTGTTTTTGTTAAGTATGTTACTATTTTTGTTGAATATGTTACTATTTTTGTTGGGAATGTTACTATTATTATTTTTTTAAATATTAATATTGGATGTTACTATTTTTTTTTGTGTTTAAATAGTATTATTTTTTTGTAATTAAATGATACTTTTTTTTTTGTATTTGAATATTACTATTTTTTATTTTTAATATTACTCTATATATATATATATATATATATATATATATATATATATATATATGAGAGATATAGTCCTACCTTATATATGAATATAGATAGATATGAGGGAAATTTTTTTTTAATGTTAATCAAACTCTTAAAATTTAGAAATTTTTAATTTTACTTCATTTCTAAAGAGAAGAGATATTCTGGTAAAATTAACAAAAAAAAAAATTTTATAACAAATAAATTTTTTTGGTGGACTTAAGTCCAAATAAGTTCATATAGGGCGATCGATTTCTAAATTTTTCTTTTTTTAATGACGTTCAGAATCTCTGGACGTTCCTCGGTGCCTGTTGTAATCTTTCCGCCTAGTTTGACTGTTCTTATTCCTGTTCTTGACTTATGAACAGGTTCTTTATAGATGATTTGCCATTTTAGGCCCTTTTAGACAAAGAAATGAGATAAACAAAATGGCCACAACAATGTTTCAGGATAGAGAGGTCTCATGTCACGGTCATTTCCCTTGAAGCTATGCTTAGAAATGTATCACAGTAATTTGATGAGACACGAAACGATTTTCATATCAGAACATCATATGTGGCCTCGAACAGTGAAATACTAAGGCGATTGACTGACTCCAAGGAGTGAATTTTGAGGAATATGCCTTAGAAGCATCCTGGCCTGACCCCCGTGGCGTAATAAATTACAAAGAATGATTATTTTCGTAGATAAGTCACATCAAATTACAATTTGAATTTCAAAAAATTTGTATAAATGCATGATACTTATTGATCTGGATTTGTCGGGGACATATAAACTTAATTCTCAATGTCAGTTCAATGAGTGTTTGACACAGTTCAATAAATGACTTGCAGATGTTATTAAATGTTGGGGAGAAGTGTATTGAGTACTTGACATCCTAGTTAGGATAATCATTATAGGGTTAGACCTCGAGTCACCGACACCTCTCAGACTTGATAATTGCGCAGCTCAAGAGAAAGCTCTAAAATGTCATGCCATCCTATTTGAAGAATAAATAGTCAAATGAATTGGGTCTCATGTATTTATCGACAACTAACCCAACACAATAAAAGTCTTGTCTTTCCTTTGAGCACTTTACTGGCTTACGCATTAGAAATGATAAGTCGAACAAGTCTCCATCCCCCTTTTTGACCTTATTCTCTGTTGCAGGACACCCACACGATCCCCGCCTTGGTGCTACCACCTCAAACCATTGTAGAAATTCACCCGTGCATAATTATTCATTGCATGTGTAAGAGGGGGATGATACGATAAATAAATAGTATGATGCCACAGATGCACCCATTGTATTTTTCTTTTTCTCATTTCCCTTCATCTACAAAAAAAGTAAGTTGCAGGTTAATTGTCAGACAATCACTTTGCCAAAATTCCGTTTTTGCTCAATATTAAGACACAAAACCATGAGTTTGGACGCCGAGACTAATATCCTCAAAAACGTAGGGATGGCGTGGGTCGTTTCAACCCAGACACGACCATGTATTAGTTATGTTAAACAGGTCTTGTTGGGGTTTTTCATTGCGGTAAAGATGGAGAAAGAAATCACATTAATTACGATCAAAACTACAAGTCTCCAATATTTAGGAACAGGATGGAAACGAATTGCATTAGCAATCTTATACATACCCATTATATCTTGTCACTTAAAACTCATACATGCCATTTCGAAACCACACTATAAGGCTCGTGGGATTTGATTGTGTTATCCTCACTTTGGACAATCTTGGTCAGTGGGATCTCCTCTGCATGACACCATATCATGTTGTTGAACAACAAGCACAGAAGACACAATGCCCTGACCTGATGAGGCCAAGACATCTCCTATAGGCCCTAGTTCGGCATGCTTGGCTGGGCGATCGACCAGATCTGCCACAATGATTGAGGGACGCCGGCCTTTTCCAACTATTATGAGGTCGTAGTCTCCGCTTCTGCCTATTGCCAACATCCCCTCGACAATGTTGCTTCCCCCCTTGTCTATGTAGTCCGCCATCCCTGCCCACCTCCTTCGGAACTCAGCCACTGCTTTCTCATCAAGCTCCTGATTTGCACCAATACCAGAATCGAGCATCAGCAGGTGCATGGTAGGATATTAACAATGCTTTATTGCAATAAGTGAGTTTCTTAAGATGATGGTAAATTACATTTTACCCCATTGAATTACTACCCTTATTTTATTATATACCTTCAACTATAAAATTTCTCACATTTCACCCTAAAGTATTAATTTTTTTTAATATCACTTCAATTGATAACGGATGTCACTTTTTTTACGGTAAATGCGCATGTGAGTAGTCTGTACTACCATTAAGCAATTGTTTATTGCACACGTACAGGTTAAAAATCAAGAAAAATACATATCCGTGATTTTACCCTTTATAAGCTCTAAATTTTCTTTCCTTAACTGACCCTTTTTTTTTTTTTTTTCTAACAACCATTTGGTTGCAAAATAGTTAAAATAAAGTGGTACTGGGCACTTGGTAGGAAGCTCTTTGGGATTCTCTTTTCTCATTTGACAAATTTTCAAGTTTACCGTTATTTATTGGAGTGGTATGAAACAAAATTGATATTTTAGGGTGCAATGTGAGAAATTTTACAATTAAGGATGTAAAGTGAAATAAGGGTAATAGTTTAGAAGAGTAAAGTGTAATTTATCCATAAGATGATTTATTATAGTCCTAAAGAAATTCAAGGAATTAGGGCCGAAGGGAACCCCAATCTAAGGGTGCACAACAGACAAGACCAATACACTAGAAATGCCTAGGCCCATGGATTTTATGATGGGCCAGCTAGCGGATTCCTAGTGGGCTGTCTAACAGTCGGCCCCTAATGGATCCAGCTTCTACTTTTCTTCTTGGTTTCTTATTTGAATTTCTGGCCTGTCCAATATGCTGGCCCTGATGCACCCATGTTCCATTTTGATTTGGTTTCTAATTTAAAATTTAAGAAAATATTATTTAGATCTAATTTAATAATAGAATCGGAAAAACTAATTTTAACATGCATGTATTACGTACGTATAGGTAGCTACATATATGAGAGAGAGAGAGGGGATTACCTTTTCCTTTTCTCGATTCATGAGAGAAGTTGAGAAGCTATAACTCTCTTCTCCACATTTATTCGGTGATGGCTGTAACATAACGCCGTTATTCTCAATTCCTTCTTTCTCTATGAACCTCAGAATCGTCACTTGAACGGCGGGATGTTCAGCCATCCTCCCACCTAACTCCAAAGCCTCCCTGTCGTCAGGCCCACCGAAGAAAATAACACAGACCCTCTTTTCCACGTTGGCAGTGGGCCCTGGAGTTTTCTGGAACCCTCCACCAAATCCACGGTCCACAAGCAATGCCACCGAACAAGGTGCATCCTTTAGCACCCTCTGATTAACTTCTCTCCAGCTATGGCCCAGATCGTCCACTTCATCATCACCGTTAGTTTTTTTCCACTGCTTGTGAAACGGCAATATAATCATAGCAACGCTCTTATCTTCCGCCACGTGGCATATATCCTCATGCATCATTGGCAATGCTGATATGGCAGTTGTGGTTCGAACACTGACTCGGCGCAGTTGGCTGTATGCTTGGAACGCCACGGCGACTCGGTCATGTAACTCGCCTCTCCAGAACCGGTTGATGAACGGAAAACCGTTCTTTTGGAGACGTTGGACCATAACAATGGAGGAGGATCGTTCGGTGAGCTCGACAAGGTGCATGATATAGAGTTTGAGGCGGGACTTGTTAACGGACCGAGTCGACTCAATGAGGTTGACGAGGGAAGGGATGTTTCCGAGACCGTGGATGCAGGCGAGGATTCGGAGCTCGTCTTTGAAGCTTTCAGAGGCAGGTTGTAGCCGACGATTTCTATTGCCGGAGTAGGAGGAGGAAGAGATGTTGTTGCGAGCTGGTTTGTAGATAACCAGCACTGTTGGAGTTGTCATGAAGGTGGTGAAGAGTGCCATGAGGACTAATATTGCAAACACTTCGTCATTAAGGACCTGTCAATCAATTGAAACCATTATCAATCAATTTTAGGTTTTTAATATCAAAACAAAAATAAGAAAATGAAACTAAATGCCAATGCAAGATCCTTTGGTTTTTTTCTTTTTTTTTTTTCACTAACAATACCATAAATTTATTCAATCAGAACCAAACAATGTGAGTTTGGTAGCATTTGGTTACACGATGTTTGTGTTTTTTTTTTTTTGTGTTTGTTTTCATTTTTTGCTAAAAAAATAATAATAATGCATTTGGAATTTGTTTTCATTTTTTTTTAGTGTTTCGTTTTGAAAACAAGGGCAAAATATGAAAACATAAAAAAAAAAAAAAAAAAAACGTGTGTCTCTGCCCCACCTTTTAATGAGATCTTTCTTTCAAATCTTGTTAACACCAAAATTTAGGACTTTTGGTTAGAAGTATAAAAGTCATTTTCCTTTCTTTTCTTGTCTTTCCCTCTCGCTGGTTTCTCCCTTTTGAAACCAAAGCCAAAGATAAAGAAATTGAAGACGAAATTGAAGACCAAGACAAAACCCACTTCATCTTTCTCGCTCGTTTCCCTCTTTTTTTCTTAATTATATATATATAGATTGGGTTGTGGGTTACAATGGTGGGGGTTGGATTGAGGGGATTGGGTTTATGGGTTGCAATGGTGGGGGTTGGATTGAGGGTGAGTTTCAATGGCTGTGGTTTTGGTGGTGGTGGAGGTGGGGGTGGGTTTCAGTGGTTGTGGTGGTGGATTTTTGGTGGTTGTGGTGATGGGAGTGGGTTGGGGGTGGGTTTCGGTGGTGGGGTTGGGTGGTCAGTGGGGTTGGGTGATGAATTTTAGGGTATAAGATTAAACAAGTTTTTTATTTTTGTTTTTTATAATTTTTTAAATATAAATAACAACCAAATTTGTTTTATATTTTTAATTTCTATCACAAAAAACAAAAAAAACAAAACTTAGTTCTATTTTTTTATTAAAAAAAACATAAAAATGAAAGCGTTACTAAATGCACCGATGCATAAGTTTAACATCATAAGCCTCTTAATTATTTTTTCCTATCGAGATTCTCGATAAAATTTCTTTTTTAAGAAGACCAATACAGGTACATATATATTTGAAAAACATAATACAAACATCACACATTTAGACCCCCTGTTATTCCAAAAAAGTTTGTAGTTGTTGCGTCTAAGAAATATGAGTCATTCACTATTTTTAACATAGAAATTATAAAATTAATATGAGTTTGAGATTACTCAAGTGATGCTAATTAGTACAATCATTATTTAAAGTGATTTGAGATAAATGGGAAAAAAGAAAGAAGAAAGCAAGAAAAAGATGAGCAACAGGCATATTCTGTGTCCCCACACGAGACGACAAGAAAGATAATTAAAATGATAAAATAAATAGACTTTTCAAGATAATGATACTTGTACTGAAAATTTATTTTTCCATAGCAGATTTACTAATGGACTTTGTTCTTCTACTATAGAGAGATGCCCCCGACCCCATGGGCTTTATTATTGACATGTAATTTTAGATTTATTCACATTGAAAGATTTGAGATTGAAGGAACAATTGATGATATGAATTTGGTTTTTTTTTTTGATCACAAGAAAACTATAACACTTTTACTTAAAAGTAGAAGTAAGGCAACCTCTATATAACCCACACACACCCGGAGACTATCCGATGATATGAATTTGGTTAACTTTGTTTCATTTCATATCTATTCAAAACTCAGGAGTGGCCCAGCTGAAATCTACTCAATTTTACATCAAACATCAAGGGTGTCTTACAACACTGTTACATCACTGTTATTTAAGGGGAAAAGCTATAAAATTAGACTTAACTAGAAGAGTGTTGTCACAATAACTCTTTTTAAAAAAAAGTGAATATTCATGTCGATCTTTGTTAGATTGTCCACACATTGGTCATACGTAAGACAATTATTATAAAGGTGACAATTACTAAAGACGTTTCAAAAGTGCCACAGATAAAAGTGTCATGTCTTAAGTTTTCTTGCACAGTGAAATGTCATGAATATTATTTTTGACATATCCTTACAGCTTTGTTATTTAAGGAGAAGTTATAAAATTAGACTTAAGGTTGTCACAGCACGTCTCTTTTAAAAAATGTGAATATTCAAGTCGATCTTTGCTAGAGTCGTACATAAGATGATTACTAAAGAAACGGTATATTGAATATAAAAAACAAAATTGAATAAAAATGTATTGTAAGAGACGGGGATGATCATATTGCACCAAATTGTGCCCTCAATTGTAAATGTGATTGAAATATTAATACCTCAATATCGTTTAATAAGACGGAATTCTCAATAAATTACTTTTGTTTTGTAAGCTTTAAAAAAAAAAGGATATTTCCTAAAGTCAACATGGGAAAAACGTGTAAACAATTGGTAACAAGGTAGAAATATTGCTATTAAAATGGGGAGAAATCTTACACATAAAAAACAAGAGAAAAAAAAATTAAAGAAATTGAGACCGACAATGAATTAGCACTTCTTGCGTGGACTGAAATATACTCAAATTTATAATATAAAATAAGGCAGATTTCAATAAGTCAATCTGACAGTCTCAAATAGATTCATCCAACGATTATTAATATCTCTATTAAAATTATTCACATTATACCGTATCTTTAAGTACAAGTTATTCCTAATAATCAATAACTTGTATCGTATCTATATAATAAAGTACAATAAAATTCGAATTTCAAAAAGTAAACAAAATAACTTTTATTATTCGAGATTGAGATCATTTTAAATTTTACTTTATAGTTAATCTAATGACTAATATTAACACTCTAAATTTAATATGAAAAATATACCCCTAAGAGTGTGTTTGAATTGATTTTTTAAAATTACTCATAGCAATTATTTCTCATAAGAATTTTTTTAAAAAATAGTGTTTGAAATTACCTCACCACTACCCCTAACACCCCCACCCACACTGCTCACCACCACTGCCACAACCACTACCACCAATTGAAACTGTCCGATGAAATGAATTTGGTTAACTTTGCTTCATTTCATATCTATTCAGGTCTCAGGAGTGGTACAACTGAATTCTACTCAATTTTACA